GCAGCTAGGGTGGTGTGCAAAAGTAGACTGTCGCGCGACCCGCTTGCGCTAACCAGTTTGGCACAAACTCATTGCGCGACCTGAATGTTGCGCAACCTATTAAAAGTGCTGACAATGCCTTAACAATGTTCAAAATGGCCTGCAACTGGTTCAGGTATACAGACTGTTGTACAATACAAACATAAGTACAAAAATACATAATAGTTATATAAATTTACATGTTAACACTCAATAGCATAATTATTATCTGTCCAATAATGTAACTTAATACATGTAATAGTGCAAAATACACTTGTATTAATAAAGATATATGTACTATATATGGCTTATAATACCAATACACTTACTACTGATTGACAATTCTATAAACTTAAAATACTGACTGATAATTCATTAAACAACAGAAATATAATCTCTCCAGCTTTACAACATACAGCTCAACATTTGAACCAAGTAACCTGTACATAGATAAAGCAGTAAGGAATCCCATTCATAAAATCTGATATGACCAAATTATGCTTTGTTAACAACAATTGAGATGCTGAAGGGCTAAAAATAACTTAAACCTTGTACTTTTAGTCTGCGCGACCTCTAATTGCGTGACCTCTCCATATTTGGAACTAGCATGCCTGGGAAAGCTGATTCTGCGCGACCTTTCCTATTGCGCGACCTTAAGTGTCGCGCGACCTTTGTCTGCGCGACCTTTCCAAATTTGGAATGAGGTATGCTCATAATCTAAAAATAACTGAGCTGTGCCAATATTCTGGACTGTTAATGACTCAATTGTTTTACAACAAAAATGAGTAAAAGTTAACATAAACATTTTAACCAGCTTAGAAATGTTGTCCAGATATACCATTCTAAAAGAATACTCTTCTAGTAAAAGACTAGTTTCAAATTTCATAACAATATGTTCGATAAAACAAAAGCATGAGGAGAAATTTAAAGAGAAATTAATAATTTTCAAGTAGTAAATGCCAAAATACCAAAATAATGTTGGAAAACCTGAAAGACAGGACGAAAAAAAAGAAGCTAAAGAAAGTAGTGAAAGGCTTATAACAGGCATTCAAAACTGAAAAAAAGAAATACATTTCAATAGCATTAACTTTATTTTGAAAGTAGCATGCAATTTTTTATGTCAATGAAATTCTTTTTGCAATACACAATTATGTTTCCCTTTTTTAATCATCTTATGACATTTTGCCATAGAAATTCTATCAATTTTATTTCTCAAAATTTCAACTTTTGCAAAGAGTATAATCATATTGCATTATCTTTTTATATGGAAGTTCAAATACTACATTGTTTACATTTTTCTACCATTATAACACATTACTGCACATTCAGTGCAACTTTAAATAGTTTTTAATTATTTTTTTAAGAATTAGAATAGAAAGAGGCATAACGTGCTTTTAACAAGACTGTTTAATTTAAATCTTTGTCGTTGGTATATCCTAATCTTTTTAATTTCTTGAATCAAATTCAATGATTTTGTACATAACCCCCCCCCCCCCCCAAAAAAAAACAAAACAAAAAAAAAAAAACAACCCTGTTTGATTGTGATGCTGGAATGTCTAACGACTGAAGCGGTAAATGTTCAAGATATTGTTTTTCTACGTGGATTTTGATTGTTGTTTTTAATTAATATACTCAGACGTCAACGCTAACTTTATGCCATGGTTATTCATGACGAAATGAAGATTTTTTTCTGTCATGTTTCCTTTAGAATATCTTTAAATATATGGATTGCAAATTCTATGTCAATCCCAAAATTCAAACAGTGTGATATAACTTGTATCTAACTGTTATAAATATGCCTATAATTAGACGCATACGACAAATCATCCGAGGACTTGAGCCCAGAATCATCGATGGTCACATTGACAAACACAGGAACAGTCATTTTCATGGATATAAGGAAATTCAAGAAATTTCCAATTTGAAATCATATAAATTATTTTTTTCTTTTTGGCAAAAGTACTGGTATCCCGCGAGCTGAATACCCTGTTAATACTTGTATCACACTAGGTACACCCATTTGTAAATCAAAAGTTTTGATAAAATTCAACTTCTGACATAAATTTATTGGGATCATCTCTATTCCTAAATATCTGTTTTTCAACATTTATTTTCTAAAATACTGTCAGTTCACGTATTTGATGCACTTAAATGTATATGGGACGAAATTAATTCAAAATCGATACTCAAAACTAAGTGATATTCAGTATTATTTTATTGAGGACACCTCAAGGTAGCCCTCTCCTAATCTCACAGATTCTCAACTTTCCTGAGTTCACTCGAAGCTTACTTTATAACCTGAATACCACTTTACTGAAAGGTTGAGGACTGTCTTGACCGTTAGGTAATTATATGGGATTTACTCAATGAGTGTGAGTGTAAGTATCGATTCTGAATACGGGCCATTGTGTTATAAAAATAATTAAAAAAGGTCATGATAAATTATTTTGAAATAAGTTGTGCCAAGCTTTTTTCTTTTGTTCGTTTCAGCTTGATCTACTGTCAATAACTACAATCGAAGGCATAGCACTTAGTTTTAACTATATTAAATATCTAACTGTTATAATTCGGCACGATGTTCACGAGATTTCGGATTCGTCAGAAAAGATAGAAATGGTAAGTATTTTTGTAGCATGCATTCATTTTTACATTCCCATGTAACCATAATAAATGCACTTAAATAAAAACAGCCAATGTAAGCACGTAGCATAATTTCTTTTCATTGTAATACCTTACTTAACACTTTAAAAATTTTCTTCAAATATGCACTATATTCATATCAAAGTGTTAAATTATTATAAAGTTGGTGCTAGGTGGTGTGGATGCTGACATTCATATACCGTTGCTTGCTAACGATTTACAAACATAATGCAACCGGGCTAACAATAGTTTTTTCTTTTCAAATTTGTCATGGTAGACTAAATCAGGAAGGAATGATGTCGGATACATTTATACTGAATAAAAATCACCAATTTGCTTTATTTTGTTAAGAAAACAGTATTTTTGTAGCATGTTAAAATCATTGTATAATAAAAATGGCATATAACAAGAGATGACGCCATTTCTTAAACTCTCTAGGAAGAAAATACTGCCTTTTTATCTGAAATCATAGTATCGACTACCTACTTGACAACAAAATAGAGGATAAAAAGAATCCGATAAGAGCGTCCAAAAACGGCAAAATTGAAAATGTTGCAGGCTCGGTTTGATTAAGCCTGTTCATTGACGGTAATAGAAAATATCAGCTACTATTCTATGCCCATCTAGCAACGGCTTAAGCAGATTCAACAAGTTTTGAATTTACATTGATGCGTAGATGTGTTATCATTGTTTAACCTACACCTACATTTGGTTGGTTCTATCATTTTCAATACATTTTACTGATTGAAAATCATCATTGCAATGATAAAATGAGGTTAATAGCACAAATTTATTTTTTTTTTTTCATCTAGGAACTGTTTATAGAGTTGAGTAGCAGAGAGAAGGTACAAATAAAGTATTTTGAGAAGAAAATATTTGCGCGTTTCCTGGAAATTACTTTCATAAATTCTCAAAGAGTTGGTAATATTCTCGTCAGATACGATCTCATCGGCTGTCCTAAAATATGTATGTATATTATAATTGAACCGCGCCATGAGAAAACCAGCATTGTTCGTTTGCGACCAGCATGGATCCAGACCAGCCTGCGCATCCGCTCAGTCTGATCAGGATCCATGTCCCTATTACAAGTAGAGAAACTGATAGCGAACAGCATGGATCCTGATCAGGCTGGTCTGGATCCATGCTGGTCACAAACGCACTATTTTGATTTTGTCATGGCGCGGTTCATTCTTATTTATATCTTTATAAGTTACATAACGATGACGTATTGTTGCTGACTCGTATGTATTTCCACGTGTCGGTTCATCTTATTTTAAGTTTTCTACTAACATCTGATTTTTTTCGAAACATTAAATTTTCTTTAAGAATAATGATTTGAAATACACGTGCATAAGAAAATGACCACATGGTTCAGTCAGATCTGACTAACAACACTGTCATATATATATATGAAAAATAAATGCTGCTGAAGAAGGCCGCAAGGCCGAAAGCTACGGCAAATTTAAATTAGCGTTTTTGAATATATATATATGGACAAGAGTGGACTTGTTGTGTAATAGAATTTTAGTTTTTGTAATTCAAAATGCTTCAATGTATAAAAGTAAGTTTAACCCTTAATCAATACAAAGAAAACAGAATTAGAGAATTAGATAAACGATTCCACACCTGCATGTATCATTGACTGGTATAAACTCAGTGACAAGTGTAGTTACTATAATTATGATATCTATTCTGTCTTATTTATGTTAATCTATTTCAATTAACCTTCCTATTTTATCAAGAATTATTCATTTCACTATGTAACAGAGGCTACTTGGCATTTTTCAGCCTTCTATATATGAGTATATAGAGACTTCATTTTACCGAGTCAGTACGATTTTGAGCATCTTAAGATAAAAGCTCATACTGGCTCGTTTTATATTCAATTTCAAGTTACGTACTATATAGATATACACCCATTGGACATAATTCACATTCATTTAATGTGTTGAGTTTCATTAACTCTTGTGTTGTTTCGTCTAAAAGGGTGTACAAGAAACTGATACTACGCTATACTAGTCTAACACGTAAATATAATAGCCGCATCATGACAAAACCAAAATAGTGGGTTTGCAACCAGCACGGATCCAGACCAGCCTGCGCATCCGCGCAGTCTGATCAGGATCCATACTGATCGCTATCAGTTTCTCTACTTGTTATAGAGTAGGTAAGCGAACAGCATGGATCATGATCAGAGTGCGCGGATGCGCAGGCTGGTCTGGATCCATGCTGGTCGCAAACCCATTATGTTGGTTTTGTCATGACGCAGCTCATTTATTATAATGTCTAAACGTCGCATGTTTACTCAAAACCGTTTTTTGGTAGTTTTACGTGATCCAAAGTGTCAGGATACTAGTACTATAGTTGGAATGTCACTTGAGAGAGGGACGTCTATGTCTGGCACACAGACGAGGGATATTGGCACAGCTACAAATTCCACAACATGTAGTAGAAATTGTTTAGCTACAGAAGGATGTAATCAGTGGTCATTCTTTACTGAGGGACGTGAGAAGATGGCATGCGGACAAAAGAATGCATACAAAATCAAGAGATCGTCGGTATATGATTCCGGAGAAAAGATTTGTTTTGAAGGTAATATTCCCATAATGATTTTTATTTTGCCCTGTGTACGCACTTTCCTTCCATATAGGGTTCGAATATAAGAACGAGAAAACACGTCAGTTATGTCCTCATATAGTTTCCATAGACTGCTGGTGTAATTTTAAGTCTGATGACATGCCACTGACACTATAAAACTCAGTCCAGTCTGATAAAGTCGCTGTTATATTCATATATTTTTCTGGTTCTTCGGGATCATTGAGTACCGCTCAAGCCGGTGCTAGAGGACATGAGGGATGTTGCACTTTTTTCATTATCCCCCATTTACAGACTCATCAAACCGAGTCTGAAATGTTCATGTTATTTGTTGTAAGCACCCTTTTTTCAGGTTTCAAGATAATCTGCTGGGTAAACCCTTTACTTCATATAGACGTGTTTTGACGGCTTTCGACCCCCCCTCCCCTTTTTGAGACCTCAAACAGTGAAAAATTACCCTATTTAGACCACAAACAATGTTTTTCGTTTAGGAAATGTTGCTAAAAAAGTGATCACTTTTTTGGCGTTGCCCCCTATCAAAAAGGTACACCGGGGGTTGCCAGAAGGGGATGTGCCCCCTTCTGTTTGGGAGGTTTGAAGGGGGCGGTAGTCCCCCTCATCTCCAAAAAAATTGGACTTGTGAGAGGCTAAAAATGACCCCAGGTCGATCATAAGGTAATGTGTAACGAACACTGAAAAGCCCTTGACTCTATCTCAATCTATTGAGAAGTTGCAGCACTTGAAATCAATTTTGATGGAAAAAATCATTGCAAAAAAGTGCAATTTTGATATGTTCTCTCGTTGACATGGTAACAGGAACTTAAGACTGGGCAGTCCTCTAAAAAAGCGAAATTGTCAGCAAATTGACCCAAAGGGCGATTAGGGAATTGTAAGCACTAAATTTCTAGTCTCTCATGAGCAGTTGAACTTGTCAATTTTAGGAAAAATCCCTTTCACAAAATGCAATGAAGGAAAGGGTTAAGTGTCATCATTTTTATATCATAATAGAAAATCAGATGTAATTCATGAGTGACATATATAACAAGTTGAATATCTATATGCCTACTTAACAAAAAAGTTTTATTTTTAAGTGTATTTGCTTTAAATTTCTCAAATGCTCATAGTTTCCTTTATTCTGTATGAAATCTCAGAGTATCATAAACAATGCAATCAAGCATGGCACGTGAATAATTTCCAGAGAAATGAAACAGTACATTGTTATCTTTCTGTTTATCCCTTGATAAATATTTGATATATTTCATGATATATATTTTTTCATTATCTCCTATAACAGGCAGTGCTGTAGCAAATCCGTGTCATTTTGAATTGAATTTTACGGATCCGATGTATATTACCAGTCTATACTATCCAGAAGCCCACCCACCAAATATGAAATGTTCCTGGAAAATTAACTTCTACATGTACAAATCTGTAAAAGTGACATATCTTACTTTGAATATACCCACACCGAATCAAGATAAAGTAAGTGATCATTCATTCATTCATTCATTTAGATCTGAAATAAAAAGTATCAAATAATGTTTTTGTTTCGGTTCTACCCTGTATAAAAATACATGTACTGCAGGTACGAGGGGTGATAAAAAGTTCGCTGAAAAGTAACATTGCACGTGCTTTGGATTTTAATTTGAATTAATTATTGTAATAACCAAATAATGTTGTTTTCCATACTTATATCAGTAAAAGACGGACACTTTACTTTATTTATTTTTTGTTAATTGGTATCAAAAAATTGAACCTTTTCCTTCATTGATTTTTTATGTCGCTGAGCTAATTGTGAAAAAGTTGTACCCCTTACACACAAGGAGAGTATGTAATCAACGAAAATAAATTATATACGTACCTTCAGCACTATAACGAGTCGGCCGAAAGTGATTCGTTTTTCCGTTATGAGTAGGCCTTTTTGATCAATTGAACCTATACTAATGTACAATCTAATTAAAATCAGCTCCTAATTAACGCTACTTGAGTCAATCTGACTAAAGTTAAGAGCTATGTAAATTATTTCTTGCATGTAGATCTGATTGCCATCGTATTTGTTTCACCTTTTTTGTTCGGATTTCCCGAGAGCCACACAATCAAACCGTCCTTTACAAAAAAGCATTAGACAAAGTATCAAAATACCGTTGTTCGTGGAAGTAAAAAGTATTGTTGATTTTTGTCATAAAAAGTGTTTTAAAGTAATTTAAAGCAGATAAACTGGAAATAATAGACTAAGTTTTTAATAGGCAGGATTGTTTTGCCAGTTTGCTAGTTTGTTCTCGGACGAAATCGTGAAAATGATTAACTCAGTACTGGTTTAGAAACCGCATCGCTTTCAAAATTGCGAAAAGCGCACCGATAATTGGCTGTTTGAAAGGTCACGAGAAGGTGACCTCCTATTGGTGCCCGTCAGATGCTAATGCGTAGCGTTAATTTGTAGTTGATATTATTCATATTGCTATTTGAATATAGAAATACGTTATAAAATACAAAACGCAATACTTTATTTTTATGTTGATTTAATATTTACTATATGTTTTATAACATAAGTGTTATATTTGAAGATTAAAAACGGTCTTGAAAATTGCGTTGACTTTTTATCACTCGGGGAAAAAGAACGGAGTTTGGCGTATAGGCCGCACGTGATACTGACGCACGAGAACGCATCATCATTTGAACAATCAGTTTCATATATAGAAAGAATGAAGTACCTGTATATCAATTACATATCTTGCATGAGGAAACCATTCGAAGATTCAAAGCCGGGATTTTCTCTTAGAATTGAAGAAACTGGTATGCGCTATTTTTTATGTGTGTTATTGTTTACTTACACAAAAGAGCATCGGTTAAACTTTTCAAATGTTCTCTATAAATTTAAAACAAGAGTTATCAACCAGTTTACTGCAACTTTTCAATGCGCCAAATCTCCAAGATCACCTTCTGTGAGATTTTTAACATTAATTTTCTGACAAACTAGGTTAAGTTGTATATATTTATTGCTGCTCTTTCCTTAATTGCTGGAGAAACTAATGGGAATCTTTTCTCTCTCTCACTCCGAAGATTGCACGGGTTGCAGAAATGAGCCCACAACATGTAGAGCGCAAAATTTTGCAGAAAACACTATATGTGACACATTACGTGCATGTGGATATTTGTTGAGCCTCAACTATCTTGGCAAATACCGTATGTAATATATTTAAACACGTATAGCTTTTGATAATGAAGCCATATCTATGACTAGGTATAAATCCAGACCAGTCTGCACGACCGTAAAAGCTGACCAATTCGAAAACCACATGATGTTCAATTTAAATAAATATTTTTCGAGATCCTATAAATTATTTCTCAACAGTTTTAAATTCAGAGAAAGATAAGTATATTTCACTTAGAATAACCGTTAACATAATAGGATAACAATTTGTTATCAACTACCTGTTTTTTCATGGCATAATAAATATTGCCCAATTTCACTAGTTTTGCTTTCCCTAAACTAGCACACAGTTAACGGCTTATCGGCTAACAGATGCACATACAAGTATATCCGTAAATACCAACAATACTAGCCAGAATCTGTCAACGGCTGTATTTTCCGTCAGCTGACAATGTACCGGTAAAAGGGAAATTATAAATTATTGAATTACAGATCCCAACTTGATGTGCCGATGGTCTTTTATGGTGAGCCGATTGGTGAAAATTGAAATTCTGCACTTTGATATACCAGGCGGCGTGGACTGCAGTGGCGATAATTTCACTATATTATCGGGATTGTCAAAATATAATCCAGATTTCTCTAACAAAGGCGATTGGACTGTAAAAGGAGTGTAAGTAACAGCGCCCTTTTTCTTGTTGATACTTCTTTTGTTTTCATTTTGCTGTTCTTATTGAGATCTTCATCAGCAACGTACAACTTATTAATTATTGTAAAGTTGATAAGTAATGGACGTTTAGCGACCGAAATGAATCATTAAAATATATTTGTAACTTTAATTAAAGTTAAGCATGCATCAATATATGTCTTAGTCTATTGTTGTAGGTACTGCAATGCTAACCGACCAAGGGCCGTTTGGTACCTTGAAACTGACTTCCTAGTTGAATTTGCTACTGATGACAGTATCGCCGGGACAGGATTTTTATTGAAATGGCAAGAAAATAGAGAAGAGAAACAACGCGCCACCTTTAGACAAGTCTCTATGATAAACGATTGTAAGCATTTATTTAATTATCTCTCATCAATCAATTAAACGTAAATAGAATAGTGCACTATGTTTTGTAAATGTTGCAATGTTTTGCAATTGTTTGTCCAATCTTTTGCTATTGTATATTCTATATTTTGTTATTTTTATGTTCTATGATATGTAATTTTTGTGTTCTTTGTTTTATAATTGAATTTTCAACGTTTTGTAATTAAATGTTTATGAATTGTATGTCCTTTGCTTGTTATTCAATGTTTAATATTTTGTAACCTCTTGTCCCCTTTCAAAATTCCTTTTTATTTAGTTCTGCCAATTGCTTTCTTGGGCACACGCATTCTTTTACTTTGGGACCATACGCTTCTTTTCATGGAATGGCATTACTGTGTCACATTGAAGGTTCCATGATAACCGCCGTATGAACACATCTGCGGATGTTTCAAAATTCAAAATTTTACCAGTTCATGTAAAATGTTGAATTCTGCTTAAGCCGGTGCTAGGGGGCGTAGACGGTAGTTATGCATTGTTTGTTCTATGTTTGTAATTATACATTTGTATGTTGTATATATTTTAATAAATTACATTGTATATTTTTATAATTTTAACTAATCACATTTTATATGCTTTTTCTATATGCCCTATTGTTATAATATGGCATATGTTTTGTAAGTGTGTTATACAAATTTAAGACCTCCATAATGTTGATACTAGTTCGCCATACTTGTGTAAATTCGTCTATCAAACGTTGCTTAATCATTCTAAAATACCGCATAATCAATAGGAAGGCTTACATTTCTAGTGCTTACAACTTCATTCTTTTTATGTAAAAATCCATATTTAGACATCGGAGTTATTACATTTGTAAACCAATTGGGTTTACCATATAAACAATTGTTTAAGTCTGACACTTCTATAGCCTTAATAATGACATTTTCCCTATGACATAATTTGAGGCAAAATTTAACTATATGGACATATCTATTTATATACAAGGGGCATCTACCTTACTCTCCGTAAACAACACACTACATGACGAATATCTCATTCCCAATAATGTCTTACAAAACTTGATATGTAAAGTTTCTAATTGTTTTCATTTTCACAAAACCCCATATTTCACATCCATATTTTATTGTAGACTTAACAAACGAATCAAATAGTTGTAAAGCCACTTTCGGCAGAGTGTCATGTTTTTATAAATTTACTATGAGTGTACTCATTGCTTTAAGTCCTTTCCATATACATTTTGGGTATTTAATGAAAATTTCCTGTATAATTAAAAGTAGCACCTAAATATTTAAAATCATTTACATTTTCAAGAATACATGAATTTTCACCGTAGAACCAAACTTCTTTATTTCGCAAGCCTCCCCGCTAAATACCATACATTTTGATTTATCTACATTTACCTGTATTTCACAAGTATAACAATACTCATATAACTTATTAAGTGATGTTTGTAAATCAGACGAATTTGTAACTAGAATAACCATGTCATCAGCGAATAGTAATAATATCATACATATCTCAAATAAAGTAAGTCCACAGTTTACTCTATCTTGCAAGTAAAGCTCAAGATCTTCAATAAACAATAGAACATAATCGGGGAAAATATCTTCCCTTGACGTAAACCCATTGCTATATCGAAAAAATCCAAATGATTCATATCATCACATGAACGTATACACGACTTTACACATTGATACATACTTCTTATAATGCGTAGAATTTTGCCATTTAATCACGTATTATAAAGCTTATATCAAAGAGAATTTCTACATAGAGAGTCAAATCAGCGTTTCATAGCAATAAAACAACAATACAAACGTTTATTTTCGTTATTAAACTGATGCATCAATGAGATCCGAACAAACACTGCATCAATATTGGACCGGCCTTTGCAGAACCCAAATTGAGCGTCAGATACAAAATTATTGTTTTCGGACCACTCATTTATACGCTCATTTAACACTGGTGAAAATAGTTTTCATAACTTGCTTAACAAGGTTAATTCCGCTGTTATTTATGACGTCATATTTATCGCCCTTTTTATGTAATGGTATTACGATGCCTTTTGTCCATGCTACTGGGAAGTGACCAGTATTTAACATTTTTATTAAACTATACAGTTATGTAACTGTACAAAATAGCACACGCTTCTATAATGTACTCATTTAACAACTGGTCCTCAAACGTTTGATTGCCGGAAAAACAGGTAAAACATTTTCAAAATTATGGCTGTGGCTCGCTCCCATTCGATGCACCCGGTCAAGCTTTAGATTAAGTGCGTTTTCCTCAGCTATTTGTATTTTATTTATAAGAAAGTCTCTGACAATTTGTTCAGTTTGAGCCGGGGTTTCGTTCACAGTTTCCTGTAGATTACCAATAACAAGATTGTTTCTCATACTTCGGGCTTTAATGTAATTCAATTCACTTTTTATAGAGTCTTTTTCTCATTCTAAGTCACACATTCTTGCTCTTGCGTTTGACCGTCGAAATCTAATCATCCTCAACCCGGTCTACCCTTCCCTGGGTAATTTTGACTGTGTCGTTGATATGCAACCATATTTTCTTCAATTCGAAATCAAAATTTTCCGCTACTTTTCAACGTTATCCAATTCAACAAGGTCTTTGCTCATCCGATCTGCGCGGTTGTACTCGCGGACTCAGTCGATCCGATGGCACTACGTCCAACCTCTCTCTCCGTAGTTTTACCATTCATGTTTTAAAACTGACGTGTTTCCACTAACACCATTAACTCTAACAGTTATGTCTTTAGGTGCGATTACTGGTGAGAAGGTATCACTTTCACACAATATCGAGTTTGTTTCGTTCAAAACGTCACTAAGAGATCAATTTGCCGGCGGCGAAGTCGTGGATTTAAATATCTTGCTAAGAGTTAACAATTTTTCATCACTTGTACTACTTCTGTTCCTTTTTCCTTTTCTTTTCTGGTTAACCTTCTTATTACTTGACATTTTAAATTTTAGCCCGACTATACGAAGTATATGGAGAGCTGTCCTATCCGCTCGGCGTCGGCGTCCGCGTCCGTATTAAAGTTTTGGTGCAGTAAAATATTTTTCACTATAACTTTTTCATATCTTAAGGTATCAACTTCAAACTTCAAATATATATTCCTTATCATCACCCACATCTTATGTGACAAGGTTCATAACTCTAGCACAAATATTTTCAGATTTATCTTCCCTTGAACTTAGAATTTTCCTTAAAAAAAAATTATTTTTTACTGTTAAATCTTTATTTCTTAAGGGATCAACTTCATGCTTCAAATATGTGTTACTTATCATCAACCACATCTTTTATGACAAGTTTCATAATTCTAGCACCAATATTTTTAGATTTATCTCCCTTGAACTTAGAATTTTTTACTTGAAAAAGCATTATTTTTTACTATTATTTCTTTATTTCTTAAGGATCAACTTCATACTTCAAATATATTTTTCTTATCATTAACCACATCTTTTGTCCTGAACTGTTTTCAATATGTCAAAACCCAAAGCTGTGACTCCAAGATTTGATCTAGTACAGCTCAAAGTTAATTTCTTGTATATTCAATTTATCCGGTTTTGTAATGGAGAGTTGGTGTTTTAACAGCTATGATACTCTGACTTTTCTTTATCAATGAAAGCCGATTAGGGACAAAACAGTTCCGGTTTGACTTAATATACCAAACCATACAGTAGACTGAATGGAATGATATGTTTACATGTTTATTGTACAGAAAGTACTCATTGTTTATTTTTTTATATTTGAAGGGGCACATGTGCTTGCAGCTAATGGTCAAGATGTAGAAAGATATGCGCGTTTTTTTATCAATCAGAGTAAGATATGACTTAAAAATGAATTAAAAATCAGTTAAAACATATTTATTTAAGCTGGATTGTTAAGTTCTTGCAACTTGTATATTGCGAGTCAACTCCTGTCACAAAAAGATTCATGGTCTTGACCCAAGTAGGGCTCGAACCCATGATCCATTGGTTGAGAGGAGGACACCTTAACCACTGGGTCACCACTGCCCTAAACAATTATTTTTATTATCAATGTTGTTTTCACCTTGTTTCATCTCAACTTTTCCGGGAAGCAGTATCGTTGGCATCAGTATTAACATATAATTCGTTAAAGGTTTTTGCTTAAAAAAATGAGCCGCGTCATGACAAAACCAACATAGTGCGTTTGCGACCAGCATGGATTCAGACCAGCCTGCGCACCCGCACAGTCTGATCAGGATCCATGCTGTTCGCTTACCAACTCTATTACAAGTAGAGAAACTGATAGCGAACAGCATGGATCCTGATCAGATTGCGCGGATGCGCAGGCTGGTCTGGATCCATTCTGGTCGCAAACCCACTATGTTGGTTTTGTCGTGACGCGGCTCATTAATGTTACTTGCAATTATTTTCCTGATCAGGAGAAAGTTCAGCCATCTGACAAGTAGGACGTTTACTAGTTGTAAATGTTAGATAAATGTTATTTTCATTTGATGAATAAGGATGATAAAGATAACTAAAATAAAGTTAATTTACTTCAAAGGTAACTAAAATAAAGATAATTAACTTCAAATGAGCCGCGCCGTGACAAAACCAACGTAATGCGTTTGCGACCAGCATGGATCCAGACCAACCTGCGCATCCGCGCAGTCTGTTCGCTTACCAACCATATTACAAGTAGAGAAACTGATAGCGAACAGCATGGATCTTGATCAGACTGCGCGGATGCGCAGGCTGGTCTGGATCCATGCTGGTCGCAAACGCACTATGTTGGTTTTGTCTGGACGCGGCTCAAATGTAAAATTTCAAGCTTATGATCATATCCTTATGTTACAGCTCAATTCCATTTCTGTGGAAGAATGAAGTACAATTATCAATTATTTGTTGAATATCCATATAAATGTTACCTGAGACATGATGAATTTATCACCAAGAATCAGCCTGTTAGCTGGAATAAAGCGTACTCCAAATGTAATCAGGTATATTTTTTTCACCGATATAAAACAAAAATCACAGATGAACATACGGATTTCTAATGAAGGAAATCTAAAATTAGGTCCCGTACTTCACTTCAGTGTTGTCATATTTTTCTGATCCTTTCGGATCATTGATTGAAGCACCTTTAAGAGTTGAAGATTGGGTAACGGTCAAGCCGGTGCTAGGAGGCGTGAGGGATATTGCACTTTTTCATTATCCTTCATGTACAGACTCAATCAAACCGAATCTGCAGTTTTCTTGTAATTTTGTTGTAATTAATGCATCCAAGGGATCATTCTTTAACCATATTTTTAATGTGAAATCCTATACGATAATTATCAGCCATTTATTATGTCATTGGAATTTTTTACTGTAAGTCATTGATTTAATAAAAAATTCTTTGCTATGCCATGTTCGAGTTCAAATGTGATACATGTATATTATAATCACTTATTATCTGAACGCTAAACTTTGGTTTTTGTACTACAATGCAATATAAACAAACCAATATATCTTTATTTGAGTCGCGTCACGACAAAACCAACATAATGGGTTTGCGACCAGCATGGATCCAGACCAACCTGTGCATCCGCGCAGTCTGATCAAGATCCATGATGTTCGCTATCAGTTTCTATACTTGTAATATAGTTGGTAAGCGAACAGCATGGATCCTGATCAGACTGCGCGGATGCGCAGGCTGGTCTGGATCCCTGCTGGTCGCAAACCCATTATGTTGGTTTTGTCATGACGCGGCTCATTTATTCTTTATTTAACTATATTGATCGGAGGAGTAATTTGCGTGACGTCATTCGGCGTCACATCTGAGGTTATAAAATGGGCAAAAATTCCTTTTTTATGTCGCACCTAATTATTTCGTGTGAGTAATGCATTCGACTGCCTTGGATGTTTCAAAGGCGAATAAAGTGAAACGTGTTAGACTAAGATGTAGTTATTACGTTTTTAAGTAACATTATTTTTCTTTCCCTGTATAGCTTGGAGGAAAACTTGTAGCAGTTTCTAATAGTGTCGAAGATGCTATTGTACGATCATTCACTGACCTTGGCGTTGTGAATAATTCATTCATCGGTTCGGATAATTCTTTTATTTTTTTTTAAAATCCTCGATATAAAATCTTTAACATAACGTTATCTTTCAATGTAAATTTGCATTTTCATATGCTCATCAATGTTATCAATAGTCATTTAATGGACGGACTACCAGAAAGATTTATGTTAACATTTTTTTGTTTTAGTTTATGAGTGTTGAATGTTATTTCTTTTTTTTTCTTTTTTTTTTTTTTTGTTAACGCAAATTATAAACTACACTATTCACACATTTTTAGCTCACCTGAGCTTGCTCAGGGTGAGCTTTTAGGATCGGTGAATGTCCGTCGTCCGTTGTACGTCGTCCGTCGTACGTCCACAATTGCTTGTGAACACTCTAGCGGTCGCATTTTTGCCTCAATCATCATCAAACTTGGTCAGGATGCTTATCTAGTTGAAAGCTCGGATGAGTTCGAACATGGCTCATCTCGGATGAAAAACTAGGTTACAAGAGCTAAAAATAGAAAAACCTTGTGAACACTCTAGAGGTCACATTTTTGACCCAATCATCATCAAACTTGGTCAGGATGTTTGTTTAGGTGATAGTTAGGATGAGTTTGAACATGGGTCATCTCAAATGAAAAAGTAGGTCACAGGAGCTATAAATAGAAAAACCTTGTGAACACTATAGTGGTCACATTTTTGAACCAATCATCATCAAACTTGGTCAGAATGCTTGTCTAGTCAATTGCTTGGATGAGTTCGAATATGGGTCATCTCTGATGAAAAACTAGGTCACAGGAGCTAAAAATAGAAAAACCTTGTGAACACTCTAGTGGTCACATTTTTGACCCAATCATCATCAAACTTTGTCAGGATGCTTGTTTAGATAATAGCTCGGATGAGTTTGAATATGGGTCATCTCGGATAAAAAAGTAGGTCACCAAGAGCTAAAAATAGAAAAACCTTGTTAACACTCTAGCGGTCACATTTTTGACCAATCATCATCAAACTTGGTCAGGATGCTTATCTAGTTGATAGCTTGAATGAGTTCGAACATGGGTCATCTCGGATGAAAAAGTAGGTCACCGGAGCTAAAAATAGAAAAACCTTGTTAACACTCTAGCGGTCACATTTTTGCATCAATCATCATCAAACTTGGTCAAGATGCTTGTCTAGGTGATAGCTCGGATGAGTTCGAACATGGGTCATCTCGGATGAAAAAGTAGGTCACCGGAGCTAAAAATAGAAAAACCTTGTTAACACTCTAGCGGTCACATTTTTGCATCAGTCATCATCAAACTTGGTCAAGATGTTTGTCTAGGTGATAGCTCGGATGAGTTTGAACATGGGTCATCTCGGATGAAAAAGTAGGTCACCGGAGCTAAAAATAGAAAAACCTTGTTAACACTCTAGCGGTCACATTTTTGCATCAATCATCATCAAACTTGATCAAGATGCTTGTCTAGGTGATAGCTCGGATGAGTTCGAACATGGGTCATCTCGGATGAAAAACTAGGTCACAGGAGCTAAAAATAGAAAAACCTTGTTAACACTCTAGTGGTCACAATTTTGACTCAATTGTCATCAAACTTGGTCAGGAAACTTGTCTAGGTCATTGCTGGGAATAAATCGAACATGGGATATCTCGGATGAAAAACTAGGTCACAGGAGCTAAAAATAGAAAAATCTTGTTAACACTCTAGTGGCAACTGTTGTGATCCAAATATTCTGTTAATTGGTCTGAAAGTTTGTTTTGATGATTTCTAAGTCAAGATCGAACATGGGTCATCTTGGATGAAAAACTAGGTCACACCGCCCAAATATGTTTTGATCCAAGTATCCTGGAAATTGGTCTGAAGGTTTGTTTTGGTGATTTCTAGGTCACGTTTGAATATGTGACACCTGGGTAAAAAACTAGGTCGCACTGCTCAAATATGGATAAACACTGTAGTGGTCACATTTTTGACTCACCTGTCATGAGACTTGGTCAGAATGCTTGTCTAGGTAATTGTTTGGATGAGTTTGATAAGTCAGGTGAGCGATCTAGGGCCATCATGGCCCTCTTGTTTAAATTCGAGTAGACATTTTGTGTTATTTCTTGAATGATGTTGGAACTTTGTGAATAAAAGGAACACTTGTAAAATATCCATAAACATGCACAAAAGTATCACCTTCTTCACTTGTGTTTTTATTTCAGGACTTTACCGTAATCACTCTAGTGGCATGCTTTACGACACAACAGGGGAGAAATATATGTACATGAGATGGTAAGTTTTGAAAAGCTCGCGCTATATGAGTAATCAAATCGTATTTCAGTTCAAGATTATTTATCTTGTTTATGCAACTTGTTCGAAATAAATGTCAAAAACTATTTCAGACTTCATTTTTTTCATCTTCATTTCAATATGTTATCTGACGTACATTTTATATTAATAGTTGTAGGATATTTGACAGGTTATATGGCCCTATGTAAACGGTTGTTTGGAAATATAACCCGAGCCGCCAGGCGAGGGATATTTTGCAAACAACCGTATATTCTTCTCTTTAAAGAAAAAGTGAGATTTCTTTATAAATTGAAAGCAGTCGTGTATATAAAACTATATAAGCCATACGATTATTCAATAATAATTAAAAAAAAAAACGTTACAAACGTGCAGTATTATAACAACTTATAGTACTGCACGTGCTGTATTATATGACTTATTTATTTACAATTTACAGTTATTTATTATGTAATTTTATGCCTAATCTACTGTGAATGCATACCTTCACAACTATCATGTGTTTTGTCTATCTAAAATGTTGTCTCTTTAGTTACTACAAAAAAATTCATACCATTTTAATATGTACACGGTCAAAAATTCCATTGATAAATAATTTCTAATTATCTTGTACTATCATTGAAATAAGCTGGGAAATGTATTCCAATTGTTTTTTGAAGGGGATTTGACAATGCCGTAATGTCAGTAGAACCTAATGGGTTTGGTTTGAACAACTGCCTTATGCTGAGGGATATTCTCCAGACGTCTGGCACTTTTTCGAATTCAAAATGGGCAGATGTAAACTGTGATGAAGAATTTATAGCCTTAGTGGTATGTGAACGGCCAATCCGCATACCGGGGACGAGTAAATATTTGTTTTTTTTGTTCCCCAGATTTTTCTTTATTTGTGCAGTTTCCTTTACTAACAACGTAATAATGATTTTCGTCGAAAGAACTTTTTATTACATATGATACCATTAAGTAAGATGAAAAATAAAGCAAGACTGATAAATGACAACAGTTATATGTCGATTTATATTTTGTGTATGTTCTTCAAATGTAAACACATGTGCTTTGATCTATACCATACCATTGTTTCCTTTTATAGTTAGATTCTCTAGATTTACCTTCGAGGATTTGAGTAGAAATGGAACTGGTATACAAAACAATAGTAACCTTTTTATGTGTGATAATGGAGAATATATTAGACAGGAATTTAAATGCGATATGGAGAAAAATTGTTTGGATGGTTCTGATGAGGTAGCATGTGGTAAGGGATCTACTAAATGTTTTAATAAATTTAACATATGTCCCTAAAATGGGTATAACCTGGTAATTGTCTTAGTGCTTTTTCTGTGTGTCTTGTATTTCAGTATTGTTTCTTTGAAAATGATGGCAATAAAGTAAAGGTTTCACTCACATATCATTACGTATGATGTTTGACAAGTAAAAACTTCAATTAAAACAAAGTTATTTAAATGATTATTACCAAGATATGATATACTTAATGTGTTGTCGGATATATGTTTGATCGTTTAAATAATAATTAGAAGATTCGTAAATGTTATTACAGATTACCAAGCGTGTTTGTCGGACAAGTTTTATTGTGGTGATGATGAACCTCGATGTATAAATGTAAATCTGACGTGTGACAGCTATAGAGACTGTCATAATGGAGCTGATGAAATAGATTGTGGTACGCTTGGACACAGTCTACATTCTTTTGACAAATTGCCTTTCTTTTGCGAAAAGAAATATCTTAATATAAAATGTCATAAATAACTTTATTTTCCTAAAATAAATTTTGTACAGTCTACAAAAAACTTCTTATTAAAGTTGATAAACAATTATCTTCTTGTTTTTTTTTGTTTTGTCCGAAGTGAAACATTCTTTTTTTATATTGCAATTATAGCAAAAACGGAGTGTTACAATCTAATTTTACAATAACATTTGTAGTTTACCTGGAATCGTAATTATATTTTTTAAATTACACATGTAGTTTACTCGGTGTGATTCAGTCGTATTTTTCCAATTATCCATAGTGTTACTTTGTTTTTTTAACAATATAGTTGTGTTTATATTTGATTTTTTATTCATACTTGTAGTTAACCCAGTGTGGTTCATTCTTATTTTCACTTATATTTAACATTTATATTTTACAATTACACATGTAGTTAACTTGAAATAATAAATTCTAATTTTACAATTACAAATGTAGTTTTCACGGAGTGATAATTCTATTTTTATTATCACTCTTTTAGTTTTTGGGAGAGATTCATTATTATTTTCCAATAACACTGGTAGCTCTCATAGGACGATTTATTTTACAATTACGCTTGCAGTTTTTATGGAGTTTTACAATAACATTTTAGTTTACCCGGAGTGTGACTACGATCAATGGATGTGCCTAAACGGACAATGTATCCCGGAGTTTTCAAAGAATGATGGTGTATTTGACTGCATGGACAAATCGGACGAGATAGTTGACGGTACGTTATGTTGTATAAATTCTGTAAAAAAAGAAAGATATAATATATGCAGATTTACCGGTTTAAATTCCCCAGCAGTACTTATGCTGCTGACCGTTCCAAGGCCGCATCCCTCTGTGTTCCTCAGATGTATGTCTTTGTTGATTCATACTGTTTTGGTGACACTTCTGTTTGTGTCCCTTGTTGTTTTCTCGTCTGCGATAAGTATCTTTCCTTTCGCCCCTAGTTTTTTTCTCTATCTCTCTCTCTTTTTTAAATTTTGCCCTTCCCTTCCCGAATCTCGGATCCCCTTCCCCTGTACCCCTTTATTTTGTGAGTCTGTTAATCAATGAATTATTTGTTTTCTTTAATTTCCTTGTCATTTACTATTATTTCTTTTTTAAGTATCTTTAATTATTTGTTTTATTTAATTTCCTTATCGGTTACTATTATTTCTTTTTTTAAGTATCATTCAAGTGTTAGCCTGTGCGTGTTCTGCCTTGCGCCCTGTCCTGTTTTTTTTGTTGTTGGTCCTATCCTGGGCTCCTTGTAGCTAGTTCTTGTTGCTGTGTGGGGTTGGAGTTGCGTTCATTGAACGCCGCCTTTCCTTGATGATCTTTTTTACCATATTTGATTTTATTATAAATTGCAATCTTACTAGATCCGGCTTTAGCAGCATTAAGTCTTGAATACATTGTAATAAATTATAGCTGAAAAGGGAATATTTATAATATTAATAATTTTAAGCCAAATAAAATAAAATTCGGGAAAAGAGTTGAACAAAATAACAACTTTTAGGTAAAATATGGATATATGAGAAACGTGCTCGCCGGCCAACACAATATCAATATAACAAACAAAAATTAATGTCACACATCGCACTTGCTATTCTACAAATTCCAAACATCACTGAAAATTAGTTTCGTTTTTAATAATGTACACTGCTATGCGACTATTTTCGTTAAATTTGCTGCCTGTAAATATATTGCTTTAATCGGATATAACAACAAATAACAACAAAAGATTATTCTGTATTTCATTGGAAGTTTGACTGTTTGTCTGTTTTTACGCCGATTTTAAAACACTTATGCTCATATCTCGGCGGTGGATCCACCTTACCAGCTTTCCTGAGTACATAACCAGTTATTCCCATTTTATGCGCAAGTGACCTCCAACTACTAAATCCTCATGGTTTCATTCCTCATAGTTTCTGATGCAGCGGTTAGAGACAGGTGACCATTAGATTCTTCTTCTTCTTCTTCTTCAGAGTTATCACAAGAACTCCGGGACATTTGAAAAATCGTGTATAAATCTGTTAGCCGGTGCTTTATGTTATAATTAGGTAATTATGTATGGCAAGAATGAAAACCAGAAATAAACCGGTCAAAACTTGTGAATTGGCAAGTAATTTGGAAATTTTACTCAAAACTACCAGATTTGAAGCAAGAGGCGATGAAAAATGGCCTGTGAATTAGGCTTTGACACATAATACAAGATGTAAGACAAGATAAATCATTAAAGTGTAATTTAGCACCTAAAACTCTTTTAGAACGATGAAAATAACCATTTTTGACGAGTGTTTTTGTAGTATATACAGATGTTTTCCGACGAACTCCGTGACAGTTATCACAAGAACTCCTGATATGAACAAGTTATCATAAGAACTCCATCCTTCGTGTAACACTTCCTCCCCCGTGGGACTTGGCATTTGTCTGGGTGGAATGACATTTTGCATTTCTCTTCCAAGACAGCTAGTTTGTCGAGGTCAGTTTGTAGGGTGGAACAGTCAGACTTGTTTTTAATGGCAAGGTAGGCCGGCATATCATCTGCAAATAGTCGGACGACTGCGTTGAGACCCTCTGGGATGTCATTAATGTAGAAAAGGAACAGACTCGGGCCAAAGTCTGTTTGCCATTTTTCATGTTCCGGGTTATGTCATCTGTGAATTCAAGAAGCTGTGTTCCGCAGGATCTGCCCTTTGTGAAGCCGTGTTGGAGAGGATAGTGAATCTTCTGTTTTTCGGCATGGTTCATGATGAGGCTGGTGACAATGTGCTCTAGGAGCTTGCAGCAGATGCACGTAAGAGAGATAGGGCAATAGTTTTCTGGTTTGTATCTGCTGCCTTTCTTGTAGACCGGGGATACATTGGCTTTTTTCCAGTCATTAGGAATTGTGCTATTTTCTAGTAACAGAGTGAAGATGGTGTTGTGTATTGGAGCGATGTCAGTTGCCAATTCCTTGGGGATGCGAGGACTTATGGTGTCGGGTCCTGCAGTTTTATGTGGGTTCAGTGCGAGAAGGAGTTTGGTGATTCCGTGAGTGGTTATGGATATCTCAGGGGCTACAGGATGGGTTGACTGTGGATTGACGTAGTCCCTCTTCTTGAAGTCATCAGCAGTGATCGTGATTTTGTCTGTGAATACAGATTTAAACTGCCGGTTTAGTATGTTAGCTTTGTACTTAGGATTGGAGTGGAGTTGTCCATGTTCTTTTAGTCCAGTAATTGTTTGATTGTCTTTCTTCTTGTGTTTAATGAAGGTCCAGAAACATTTATGACTGCTGTGTATGTTTGGATCTGTAGGCTGCGGTGTCACAATTTTGTCAACATATGTCCAGTAGGCTTGTCGGAGTTCCTTCTGCACTAAGTGTTTGCAGTTCTTGTAATTTCTTTGATGTTGTTTGTCTTGTGATTTTTTCATTTTCTTATGGAGACGGTCTCGTTTTCGAAGTATTCTTTTGATGCTTTTGTCAATCCATGGTGATGTTTCTCTTGGCTTAGCAGTTTTGTGAGGGATATGTTGTTGTATACTTGCTTTCAGTGTAGTTGTAAATTTGTCCCAGATAGTGTTGATGTCGGTGTTGTTTTCCGCCATAGACTTGGTTGTTTGGTGAAGTGATGCCATGTCTTCCTTCATGCTATCCCATCTAGCCTTCAATGTCTGAGTTTATTGTAGGCCACAATTGAAACATGCTAAGGTTCCCCATCGAAAATCATTAAAAATTGCACTTATTTAGTATTACACTTCAAAGTCTTAATCTTTTTATGGCTTGTCAGTATGTTTGTTTGATACGGTTTTACGTCACACCGACACAGTATAGGTCATATGGCGGTTGAAGACCTCAGGTGTCCTTCCGTGCATTATTTCAGGCACGAATGGGCACCGGCGTTCCGTAAGCTAGCTGGATAGCTTCTTCTCATGAAAGAACCCAAAGTCCCTGTCGGGATTCGAACCGACAGCGATGAAGGGCAAGTAGTATATGAATGATGTTATAACCATTTTGAAATCATTTTAGTGAACTATTGAATTATTTCTATTTAAAAAGCTACTTATATACCCATTGGGTCTGGTGTTTATATTAATATGTTATTTATGTTATTGTTATTACATGTACACACGTCACTTTAATAAAAGATTTACTTACTTTCTTACTTACTTAATATTACAATTACATAAGGTCAATATTTCTTTCTTTTGATGAACAACAAGTCGCGTGTTATGTCTAAAGAGTTAACAAATGTATGATATTTTTTTAGGTTTTAAATGGAGGATCGATATACAGAAAAGTGACACTACTGAACAAGAATTTGACACCCCGTCAGACAACTTTATTCAAATATATTCAGAAAACGGGCGTTCTGAGAACATTTATCTGGTTAAAAACTCATATACAATAGACGGTCCAGTTCTGTCCATCGTAACAATGTTGAATATGACTAACCCGATCAAGATTAGAATAACTCACTATGATGCTAACGGTGAAAATCGCTGGTACCTGGAGAGGGTAAAAAATCATAATTGAGCCTCGTCACGACAAAACCAACATAATGGGTTTGCGACCAGCAAGGATCCAGACCAGCCTGCGCAGTCTGATCAGGATCCATGCTTTTCAGTTTCAAACCCTATAACATGTAGTGAAACTGATAGCGAACAGCATGGATCCTGATCAGACTGCGCGGATGCGCAGGCTGGTCTGGATCCATGCTGGTGGCAAACCCATTATGTTGGTTTTGTCGTGACGCAGCTCATATAACTTTTTTTCTTTCTATTCTATTCCGGCTTCTGATGCATCTCATAGTGCTCTTTCTTTTTCCCTGAGAAAAAAAGCCATGTATTAGCTTCTTATGTTTTAAGTATCATGTTTACCAGGTTATTATTTGTAACCAGCAGTAATTAATTGTCTTGACAAAAACGTATAAGTTTGACGGTTCAAATTCCAAAATGAAATATGGATGTAAGAAAAGAACAGGACGAATTATATAGCAGGAGTGTCTAATTTATGATGATATATTTGTATATCTGTATTTTAGGTTACACTTTACAATGAGGAATATGGTACTTTCAAATTTGAATGTCACTGTATTCTCCCAGACCCAAACAATATCTGGATTCTATTCCGGGACATTTCAGTGGACAGTCAAGTAATAGGAGAGCCTGTATCAGGTACATGTATATCGCGTACAAATATATGTATTGTAGAAGACAATTTTTTAGGTTTATTGCACATAAATATATAAAGAAGTCAAACTTGAGAAATTTTACTAAGATTTTAAGAAATGTTAAACAATTCAATAATTCAAGTAATAATTTACATGTTATTTGCGTTTAAAGACAGGTTTTGCAGTATTTATCACCATATTTCTACTGCGTGACTAACGCAGTAAGGGCTATTTTTGCGGGATTTTTTTATCCTTTTTTGTAATTTGCGTTGTGCCGATTGCACTGTGTATATAACTTTCTTTGTTCACCTCATAATATTTTTTACTTTTAAAAACATTTTCATAACTTTCATGAAAATTAGCATGAAACTGGTGCTAGTTGCTTTAACTTTGTTCTTTGAAATAGTTCTATCTATATTGTTCTAGCATTCTAGTACCAAACAGTTTTAAGGAATATTTTTATCACCAATATTCTGGTTATTCTTATCATTCAAAATCCATTAGTATATAGAAAAAAGTTTATACTACAAGTAAAAATTTTTCATTTTATTCTCATCATGTATAAGAGTATATCTTTATACTGTTTAACAGACCGGTCATAGCAAATCTATTTCTTGTGTCCAAATCAAGTCGTGAAACCATATATACCTATAGACAATGAAAATCGACCGCAATCACCTCACCTGTTACAATTGCAGTTGATTTGAATGTTTTACAACAGTTTTTTTTCTTATTTAATAATTCATCATAGAAAAATATATGCCCAAAGGATATTTACGACAGTTCCTTAACATTTTTGTTCAAATGACTCTAAAGTTAATGTGGGAGCTTTAATTCTATTACATATATTGAATTGTACATGTACATGCTTTTAATCTGACTATTTGTACACATTGTACAACAAGAAACAAGAACTCTTTTCACTCTAATAGCTTGCTTCTGCCATTTTAGTCATTGACATTTGTCTCGGCATTGTGAAAAAATCTGGAAACAAAGTGATCCCTCGGAAGCATTAATCACAACAAAATTACAAGAGAATTGCATACTCGGTTTGATTGAGTCTGTACATGAGAGATAATGAATACGTGCAACATCCATCACGCCCCCTAGCACCGGCTTAAGCGGTACTCAATTTTTAACACTTAATAGTGCTTACATCAATGATCCCGAAGGACCAGAAAAATATAACAACACTGGAGTGAAGTACAGGTCAACTTTTTACAGATGCCACGCAGCACTTGACACCTAATGTTGTGAAGTATAAAAATCTGGAAACAAAGTCATACCTCAGAAGCATTAATCACAACAAAATTACAAGAGAATTGCATACTCGGTTTGATTGAGTCTGTACATGAGGGATAATGAATACGTGCAACATCCCTCACGCCCCCTAGCACCGGCTTAAGCGGTATTCAATTCTCAACACTTAATAGTGCTGGCATCAATGATCCCGAAGGACCAGAAAAATATAAAAACACTGAAGTGACAACTTTTTACAGCTGCCACATAGCACTTGACTTCTGCTGACAGCTTGACACCCCATATGAAAATTGGGAAACTGTTTCCAATAATCTAAGTTTAAATGATTTCTATAGTACCTGTCAAATTGATTAAAACCTGTAACTTTAAATAAATCTCATTTGTATGTAATCTTCTAATGTATCCGTATACTCTTCATAAACATGGGCATTATCTATACAACCAAGATTAATCGTTTTCCATCCCTGTACGTATCTTTATACCCTTGACTAATTAATACGTCTAAATTGTTTTAATTAGATTGATAAAGTTATCCAAACATATCTAAATTCTTATCACCATATTCGGAGTGTTTGACACCTGACATCTTATGTTCATTTTATTTATTTGACAAAACTTTTTTCTCAGCAATCATCTTTCTACAAACACAATACTGCAAAAAAGGGATCTAAGGGATAATTTTATTAAATATCTTAATTATTGTTCAATTATTCTTTATTCCAATTCTACAAACACATTTAAATTCTGAAAGTTTTAATTTGCCTTGGCCACTGTACCCCTATTAAATCATTATCGTCATTGCCAGAAATACTTTTATTCACATGTTTTATTCTAGAACATGTTTCATCGGTCTGTTCATCTGTAACTAAATATAATTCTGTGTCTACTTTATCATCTCCAATCCACGTGATTTAGAACTCTGCCAGCCTACTCCAAGTTCTGCACTTTGATCACTTCATGTTATCCATATTATAGAAATGGTCACTTACACAATCAAAATAAGGACGGGTGAAGGTTTTGAAGCCAGTACAAAAAACAAAGTGTACATGACACTGTATGGCGATACATCGGACACTGGAGTTGTCGAATTAAAACATCCTTTTGGATATAACGAAGAAACTTTTCAATCGGCTAATGTAAGTTGTTCAATAGTTCATATTGCCATTGCTTTAACTTCGGGTTAATTTTATCATAGATTTCAATAATTGTAAGCATTTGGTTTTGTTTCCAAATTAACAACTTCACCATTACATTTAAATGTTGTATACTACTTAAGCCGGTGATAGGGAAGTGGACGGTAGTTTGCAATTACCACTTCCGTCCATGAACCGGTGCAATCAAACCGAGCCTGCAACATTTTCAATTTTACCGTTTTAGGCGTCCTAAAGTGATTCCGTTTGTTCTCTATTTTAGAATTTATATCCGGTGCTGATGTGTTGGCATAGTTAAATTTACTATAACAGGACATTTACAAGCTTAATTAAATCGAATATGCAGTTTTAATTTATCGTTTTCATTGCCCTTGAATGTTTTAGTAATTTCCATATCTATGTAACAACCAAACGTAATTGATTAACATGTTACACACAATTTAACACCTTTGTATTTTTCATGCGTTCAGACAGATGTCTTTACTTATGAAACAGTTGGTATTGGAGACATTGCAATGGTAAAGCTGTATCATTTTGGACCAAATATTCTTGACACTTGGTTCTTGGACAAAATTATTATCCACTCCTCCGATACGAACGTCACAATAACAACTATGGCGAAAAAGTAATTTTTGTATTAAAATTAAAACATGACATGGCGCAACAATACTTGTACTTACATTCACCATTTATTCATTAAATTTACAGCATGTTTAGTATTGCAAATTTTTTGCCTTTCTAAGGCTTTATTTGATAAAATAATTACTTTTTTGTATCAAGAAAAATTTAAAGCATTGCATGAATCAGAAAACAATAATCTATTGTTTCTATCGTTTATATATAGTGCTTATTAGATCTAACGAATTCATATTGGCCTTGTTATTTGACTGAAGAAAACCTTGGTAAAAAACAAATAGCAAGGTCCATATGAATACAGCTAAACAATTGAATTTTTATTGCATCATATATCAAATTATCTTTAAATATTAAGCGGGAATCTTGTTTCTGTCTTTAAAAGATATTAAAAAGCATGTACAATTTCAAAATTTCACCCAGTGATTAGCCAAGCTCATTCTTAACTCTAATTGATCAGATATTTTGTAAGCTAATACCGCCGGGGTTTCCCACTTTCCAGATTTTTTACATGATATTGAGCGGGGGAAATATCCTGTTACCCGATTAATATTTCAAAAAATGACATTTCACGCCATTTTCCCTTTGAACATATGCAGCGCACGATACATAAACGGCATAAAAAAAAGAATGTTGTCATTGCATATGACGTCAATGTGCCGTCAATAAACTAAATGACGTTTTGGACACTTTTCCGCCCTATTTTACATCAAAATGTTTGAATAGAAAATAGATATCAATTTTTTAACAGTATGGTTTATCGCTCAAATGTTTTGTAATTGATCTCTAAGGCATACCGGCATTCGCATTTAAACTCTTACTGCACACACTTCCACAGAACGCACACAAAAGTGTTACCTATGTCTTAAATGGTAAAATATTTGTTTAACAATGTCACAAAAATGTCTTAATCCTGAAATATTGTAGCATTTTTTTTCTTGCATGTTTGTAACAGATGGATTCCCAATATGGTTGCATCACCAGAGTTTGGCATGACTCTGTTTATCAGAGACAGCATACCAGACTATGTTCAAAGTAAGGTTTACATTCATTAATATTTGTCTATATAAACGGAAATCTTGTTTTTAATGAAACTTGGGAAAAATGAATGTAAATAGTAAAATGTGATGTGGAGCGCAAGCAAACATATATTGATATTTAGCTAAATATCTACACCACTGAATAATATTAACTAGGTCTTCACACATTGTACATCACATTATTTAGCAATATTTTAATTATTTTGTTTGTTTTATTTAATCGATTTGTCGATGCATGTCTCAATAACATAAGAAATATATTATACATAATGGTAGATCATTTCTTTTCTTTTTTGTGTGTTCAAGAACGAAGTTGTTCGAATAACATGTTCCAATGTTTGGACGGATCCTGCATTAGGAAAAGCTTTTATTGTGACCAAACCGTGCACTGTCATGGTCCGTTTCATGAGGATGAACCGATGGCATGTTCGCCGAGGCATTTACGTCAGTCTTGCCTTGAAATGCTCGTGTATACTAATTCTCAGGAAGATTTCTTCCCAATATTATTCAAACAAAGCGGTAAGTTTCTTAGCAACGATCAATTTTATTTATGTAATAAAATTATTTACCAATTGGATATCACCATGGTCAATATGCCATTATACCGGTGAATATCATTATCATATTCCATAGCTAATAAGTCAATAACTGTATTATTTAATGGCTAGTCTAAGACTACAATATTATGGAAGCTAGAGTCTAATAAAGAAAACAAAACGAAACAGTTTTTTTTTTAAAAAAAGACACATGCAAAAATATGGCAGACGCAAACGCTTACAAAACTAAAGAAAAATTGCTCGTGGCGCTATTGCTTTTCTCTATTATAGTAAAGTTATGATATTTGAAAATTCGCAATAAAGAACAAACAGCAATTATTTTATATGCGCACGCATAGTTAACAGTCAACAATGTTTGGTCATTGGATATCAGTCTGATGCTATTTTAAGATTCAGTCAGTGAATATGATATTATAGTTTGTCCCAACAGACTTCCATTTTTTATTTAATATAATAGTAAAATCATTTAAATTAGTGTCATGTTAACCCTGACGTCAATATCTCTAGGCTTGTTTTTCATTTTTTTCATAAAGTCAGTTATATGGTCAAAATTCTCCCGTTCACTTTCAAATGAAGAGTACTTCGGCAAAGGCTACGAAGATAAACAACAGAGATTTGCCGTAGAGAAATCAAAATTTGCTTTTATAAGAAAAATAAACACTTTAAAGAAAAATCCTGAAAAATCTCGAGGGTGATTTTTTTTTTCTTTACAAAAATAGTCAAATTCTTATTCAACCTCGTTTTGTTAATTCATACCAGGCAAAAGTTCATTTCCATTTTTAATGGGACAGACTATAGATTTATAATTGTTGAACCTATGAATTGTAAATATTTCTAGGTTATAACTTAATATAAAATGTTTTATATTTATGCATGCATCAAATAAGACTGATGTAGCAACTTGTGCACATACTTCAAGATCTATTCTTTTTATTTCAGCTAAAAAAGCGTTGGTGCTACTATAGCATAACATTTTAAACCAGCTTCATATCTTTAATACAAAACAAATACATGATTTCCCGGGGGAACGTGTAACCGTATACAGTTATATCTTTTACTTTTTTCCAAGACTCTTCAAGTTTATTGTTAAAACAATAACTATAAACATTTCAGACGAACCTTTTGACATTCACTGTGCGTACGGAGAAGATGATGATAACGAGACAGTTGTTTCTAAAGTTCACAGTGACCTTGATCATTGGGTCAATGTCACCGTACAGGAATTAAATATAACTTACTCGATAGGCGACGAGGGAATAGAAATATTGAAAGCAAATTCACGTATGTAAATATATATTCAAATCACTTATCTAAATGTATATCTGCAAAATATTAACTAACCTGTATTAAATAAATCATATGTTTTAGTATAAAAATATTGCTGAATCTGAAGCTATGGGATAGTGCACTTTCTATTTTCTTGCACAACTTTGCCAAATTGAACCGAGTCTGGATGTTTTCTTATCAACATCTTCTTCTATTATTCGGGAGGGATCTTGTCTTTCGTTGCTGTTAACTGAGCGTTGACGTTACTATAGAAATAACAGTAGTATAGTTTTATGTTAAGTAAATTAAATAATAACAAAGTTCAATACACTTATCAAAATATTGTTATATATTGCGTTTAACTAAAAAATCAAAGTTAAAAGATTTAGACAAATAAAATATAATTGCAAGATAGATGGAAAATGTTTCTACACAAATTTAAAACAAAACCCGATCAGCTCCACCTGTTGAGCGTTAGACTGTCAATCGGGTGTCCAGGATTCCAATCCCGGACGGTGCAGTTCATTGTTTTGTTGATTAATCATAGAATCCTACGGTCATTCGCACTGTACATTTTCTCTTGCATGAACTCAAGTAATATCAATTCCCTACGAAAGTGAGGGCACTAGTATTGGTGAACTGCTTGACAGTTTGTTCAGGAACAAAGCGGTAGTTGAACTGTTCTCAGGTGAATTTAAAGTGGCTTATTGCCATGATCTTTTGAAACCACCATAATTACATATCTTTATAAATTTCTCGGATTAATTCATCTTCAGATTATTGTTCCCAAAAAATAGAACTTGAATGTAAACATTCAATAGATGAAGACGTAGACCAAGCTGTAAAGTTTACAGATAATAGAGGCAATTTGTTTGAACCATTTGCGAAAGGAGGAAAGTATTGTAAAAAAAGACACAAGTATGTTTAATTATTTTTTTACCAAAATGAGAACAAATTTACCTTAACTATCTTTCTTACCGTTCATTATTATTAGTTTGCCGGGCTTTAATTCACTCCAACGATGTAAATTTGGCAAAATTTCAAATTTTACAGGTTGGTGATTACTTAAATCATGTAATTGAAAATCATATCTTGATCGGTAGATAAGTAATATACTGGTATATGTTATATTTATATGATTTTATCATATATAACAACTGGATATGGTTTGTCGTGATGTCCATTAAAAATAATTTAATCAATCATATATATATCAATCAAATGTTAGATAATTGTGAACATATAAAAAAACATTGATTTATCAGAAACAACATACGATCATTTCTCTTGAAGATTACATAGAACACGAAAAACCTTTGATGCCCTCTCAAATCATATTTATTCCACCGGTTGTTTCTTCGTTTGGTGCACCAATTATTGCTGACATCTTGACATTGTAAATGAAAACTGCGTTGTGCACATCTTTGCAAATAAACATCTTTTAATAGTCTGCTTAAGTCGGTGTTAGGGGTGGGGGGCATGGATGGAAGCTTGCATTTACAACTACCACCTTAAACATTTTTACTCCAATGTTTTGGTAATATAATATCAGGAGCTTGTACGAAGTCATTGTTGTAATAGTAAGTTATTTACGAGGCATTGCTTTGATCTTATTGTTGGTGAAAATTCTGAATATCTTGTTTCGGATTTGTTATATTCACTTCATTTTTAAATGCCCCTTGTGGCTGCATGAGAGGTTGCCTTCAATGTTGACACATAAGATTTGCAACAACATTTTATCCCATCATGATCGTAATAGACGACTAAATGGGTTCGAATATTTAGAGTCGCTCCAGCAGGTTGGATGGCTTTGACCCCAGGTATAGCTTTAAAGTTTTTAACACCCGAGGTTAGCCAAAATCTTCTTTCCTGTTCTGGCCCCATATGCACTATACTGTGTACGTTGTAAAATAGAGAGAAATAAAGAATACCTAAAGAATGCACAAAACGACGAACCACACAAACAAGCAAACAAAAATATTCTTGCTATTTTAAGTGCAACTTCCAAAGCATTATCTTCATTTAATAATTTACACGCTATTCGAAACGCAAATACATGTATAGAACAAGGTTATAATGCCCTAATATTTCATAAATCATTATATTTGAGGTGTCATTGCCAAAAGAGTACTGTCGAATGGATGTCTTTGAGATATATGGAGTTTCTCAAAGAAAGGGATATTGTGATCACTAAAAAATCAATGTTACCTATCAGGGCAGTTTCTCTAAGTCTACGACGACAACAACCTACTGAAATCAGAGTGCGCATCAGCCCTCTTGAATGCTTTGAACGTAAGAACATTTTTGCCTTATTTAATAGTATGTGTTGTGCTATACATATATCCAATTAGTGAACAAATTAAACCCACAAAGCTTACGCTGGTTTGTTTACAAATTGTAACATTATTTTCTTCTTCTTTTGTTTGTTCTAAAAATAAGAGAATTTTTAAAAGTATATTCATTTACAATGTGAAAGCCTTTGCTAATTTAGAAATCGAAAGCATTAGAGATTTCCTATGATGGAAATAATTTGAAAACGAAAATTTAAAAGGGATTAGTGTCTTTCGTACGGTTTGTTTAAAGTATTTTTTTAATTTTGATTCAGGTATAACATCTGATGACAGGTTGGTATGTAACAACGGAGAGCGGTATGATTCAAAATACCGCTGTTTGTTTACGGACGGAAATCATGGTGGGCTTACAGGTTGCCGGGACTTTTCTCACATAAATGATTGCGGTATATATCGTGTTTTCCTTTATTGTATGATATATAGTAAATTGAATTATAATGAATTGCACTGTTTTATTTTCAAATAGACAGAAAAAACGGTTATTCAAAATTACACCACTTTCATGTTTAATAATGGTTTCTGCTTGAGTCGGTGTTAGGGGGTGTGGACGGTATCTTGCACTTTCCATTATCGTCCATGAACAAGCTCAATCAAACTGAACCTGCAACATTTTCAAGTTTGTCCTTTTGGGCGTTCTTTAGGGATTCTGTTTTCCGCCAAAAGTAAATAATTGGTCATATATGTTGATAAATTGTCCCCTTTATTGTCCCCTTTTACGTTAATTAACAACTTTGGTAAGTGTTGACTTTATACCCCAACACTGACCAGTATTAGCCTTCTATCCCCAACCCCCATAATTTCATAATATAATATTAACCCCAAGACCCAGATATGATAATATTCATGCATTGATAAGGTATCGAATGATTTTCATATGTCTTCTTGATATCTGATGATAATGAACATATAAAATACATACTTTATTCATTTATTTTTATTGTTTCTTCCCTTTTTGAAGAGGCATTTGAATGTCCTACCGGCTTCGTCAAATGTCACGCAGGTTATTGCATACCTCTTCATTTTATATGCAATGGTGAATCTGAATGCATGGGAAATGAAGACGAAAAGGACTGCAACGGTAAGTAATAAATCAATCAATTAACATCATAGCGTAGCATTCATCGGGTGAGTTGAGATATATTCCGGTCACCTTTGTAAACAGGCAAATTGTATTAGTAACTGATGATCCGATTGACAACTGTGCAAGTTATAAATAACTGAAAATAAAGTAATTACATGGCATGAGCATTATTTATAAAATATAATGATTTTTTCCACATTTACTATATTCAGTAAATTTTGTAAACTTTTGTTTACAAGCCGACTGCAATGAAATTGTTATCAAAATCTACAAATTAACGTATTTTTGCCGAATGTTTTGAATTTAATTCACGTGCGAGAAATATTATCCTAAATAATTTATCGAAATACAATGCAACGTTAATTCGCGACATTAAAGAAGATGATACTGTTATACTGATAATCAGTAATAAAAGTAAGCAACTGACAGGTTAAGAAACTAGCAATAAAGCATTTACGACAAGCTTGTAACAGCTGGACAGTATGTTAATTAAGATATTTGAGAATAAGCTCGTTCTTAGAAAGAGCAGATTTTTGCAGCTAGATGATGTTGATGGTTGCCTACAATGAACGTTTCTTCCCTTCCGGGTCTTTGTGTTGATACCTTTTCATAGCAATATATGGTAACAATGTGATAATGGTGGTCAAAGAAAGAGAAAAATATATTAATGTTGATCAGTGAAATATTTGAGAACAAATTTAAGACATTTACAAATTTCTGTCAAAAGAATAAACAACTGACATTTAAATGATTTAACAATTGGCACTTGGTAGCAATCTCATTATGGTTCATATTTCATAGATTCTATTGGCAAAATATAAATGTAAAATAGAAATTATTAGAATTAAAAAAAAAGAGACTTACATCAATTCCGTTCGGAAAATATGTTACATCTCATGTCCAGAAACGATTAAATGGTACATTTTTATAAGTTGTATCTTTGCTTAGGGAAAGTAAAATATAATGCTCCTTAAAGCATCTCAATGTACAAGTCTTTTTGGTATAAATATCTCATTGACTTAAAGTATTATTATTTTGAACCTTATTTCACAGTAAACAACACCTGTGCAGGTGCACTACGTTGCAGGTTCTCAACAATCTGTGTCGCATCAAACAATATATGTGATGGCTCTTCCGATTGTCCTTTTAACGATGACGAGCTTCTTTGTGGAAACTCAACAAAAATAATCCGATCCCTTACTGTTGAAAAGTCGGTAAAATGGGACAACCATACCTTTAACGAGTATGCTGCCCTTGCGACGCTAAATCTGTCTTCAAAGGGAATAGAAAAAATGGGGAAATATCTCTTCGAAGGCTTGGCAAATTTACTACTATTAGACTTAAGTTTTAACAAACTGACAAACTTGGAGGAGAATATTTTTTCTGATTTATCTCGTCTTAAAAAGATTGATTTACAAGGAAATCCTGATATTAGTGTGATCGATCAAGGAACGTTCAATGGACTTGCATCATTGGAAGAATTAGAATTGAAAAACATGAAAATTTCAGTAATTAATACAGGGACATTTGAAGGGCTCGATTCGTTAAGAATTTTAAATCTTTCAAACAATCTAATTTCAACACTAAAAGGGAAAGCATTTTCTGGTTTACCAATGTTAAAAACACTCGATTTAAGAGGAAATGAAATAATTGATTTTTCAAAGGACGTGTTCTTTGGGCTTGACTCGCTTAAAACTCTCATCTCTGATTTATATTTATTGTGTTGCATAAAACCATATTCTGTTCCGGATGATCAATGTTTCCCAACAAGGAATGAGTTCTCGTCGTGTGATGATCTCATGAGGAACGAGGTTCTGCGAGCATTCGTTTGGATAATTGGGCTGATAGCTTTGTCTGGGAACGCTTTAGCCTTGGTTTACAGGTTTTTGCAAGAAAAGACCAGTTTTCAAACTGGAAATGGGATTCTATTGACAAATTTATGTGTGGCGGATTTCTTAATGGGTGTTTACATGATCATCATAGGCAGTGCTGACTCACACTTTAGAGGGAAATATGTGTGGAATGATATTTCATGGAGGAATGGTGTAATGTGCAAATTAGCAGGTTTTTTACCATTTTACTTCTTATGATTGTATCACAGACCAGAAAATATTCTATTTTGACCTATTTTATATAATTATATTTTACAAAACAAAACATAATTTTAACATATTTATCATTCATATCTATTGTGATCCTACTATCTATTGTAACTATTACACGTATTTACAACATCTATTCCACACAATTATAACGCATTGTTACTGCTAAATTTGGTATAAGTGGGCGTGTAATTTGTATTCATGTCTTTCATATTACTTACTATCATGTTTTAAATTGCAGGTTTTCTATCATTCTTATCGTGTGAAGTATCTGGAGTTTTCTTATGTTTGATCACCATTGATCGGTTCGTTACAATACGTTTTACGTTAAAGAGGATGGGATTCAATAGAAGGAGCGCCATACTGACTTGTCTGTTGTTTTGGGGTATTTGTATAATACTGGCAGTTGTTCCTTTAGTGGGAATTCCTTACTTCGACAAGCGGTTTTATACAAAGTAAGTTTTAAAGATCCTGTAACACGTTTTATTTCATAAATATGATGCTCAAATTAAGATTTGTCAATATTGTAAGTTCCAATTAACATTATTTATAAAGATATTACCCAATTTAACATTTCGTGTAAATAAAGAGAGGTAATTAAAAATTTATTTTCTATAAATTCTGAGTCAAATTTTCCAATAAAAAAGAAATGAATGTATGTAATTCATTGATTAAATGAACAAATATTTGCAGTACACTTTTTACATATTCTTCAATGTTTGAAAATTGTTTTATTTGCAAAGTTATATACATATATAATTTTTTTTGCAAGTGTGGTATACACACAGTAACAATATCAATCACAAAACATACAGGATCTTAAATTGACATATGTGATGTTCAAAATTGTCATAGACATACGTACATGCAACTGTACATTTATTTATATCATAAAAATTAATGTGTAGATAATATGGTACATAACAGGTTTCATATTTCTAAAGGGAATATTTCAAAAGGGAATAAAACAAAAGTGTCTGATTAAAAAATCTTGTTAAAACGCAAGAACACGTTATTAAGTAATGTATTTCTTACTATTGAGTTTAGATTTGAAAGTAAACACTGTAAAAAAAACAATCCTCATATTATTGTCTTTCTTCAAAGTTAACATTTACTTTCATCAAGTACATTGTTTCTGGGTATCTGCATGTTATATGTCTATTCTCTTAATTACTAGGCGATGTAATGTATGGTTGATTTATCATGCACGTGATTTTCGTTATTATAGATCAGGAGTATGCCTGGCTCATCCGCTGACCACAGACAAACGTGGAGGGTGGGAATACGCCACAGCGATTTTTGTTTTCTTGAACTTTTTCATGTTTATATTCATTGCAGTGGGACAGTTTCTTATTTTCAGGTAACAACCTTGTTTTTGTTTTACTTCCTTTTAGATGAATTGAAATTTTTAGAGCAATGCACTTCTGTTAAGTAAACTAAAAACATTGACAGAATAAAAACAAGATCAACGAAAAAACAAAAAGACAGAAAACATGCAGAAATATCATTTTTCCAATACATCTCGCAGAAAAACTAAAATGCATTTAAACTCATATGTTCATTCCTCTAAATTCATTCATTTTATTCACATACTACTTTAACACCCTCAAATCCTGACAGCTGTGGGTAGTGATATTATTGCCGAAATTTTCATCTGTAAACTTTTAGACATAAATCATTTCCATTGCGTTTTGTAAATATTATGGCACCTTGTTCAAATCTTATACTTATCTTTCATATGAACTGCACAAATCAACGTCTATTTTATTATCTAATAGAGAGATTCAGAAGGTCCGCATTGTCATTCAAGGACAGCAGCGTGATGATGTCGCCATAGCCAGGAAGTTGTCGCTCGTTGTAATGACCAACTTCCTGTGCTGGTTCCCGATATGTATTATGGGTAAAATGATAATTATAAATAATATAACAAATATTCACACATGATACAATATTCATTTAAATGTAATAATCGAAATAGTAACAAAACTGAAATTTCAAGGCGTACAGTAAGGGAATCCTATTAAAACATGTGAAGATGTATTTATGTCATGTATTTATATAACAATATATTGTAACAAATAGTCAATTGTTTATGCTTACAGTTAATTTTTGTATATTAATGTTCGTAACTGTGTTTATAATGATTCAGAGAGTCTTCTTTCTTTAATAAATCAACTAATAAATTATTTTTTGTTAAATTTTGTTGTTAACCAATTAATCATTTCAATGTTTAATTAGCTACATTCATTAATTCAAGGACTGATTGCAATGTCGAATGTTGTGATTGATATAGAAGTATATGCCTGGGTTGCCGTGTTTGTGTTGCCACTAAATTCAGCCACAAACCCCATAGTTTACACATTGTCATCTTTGTTTACAAGCGGGATAGGAGAAAAGGTAAATTGAAGTATTTATAAAACTTACTTTTGTAGTTTTGTAAAATGTATACAACATATTTAAACTTTTTTCGAGATTATATATCAATATATTGACAAGACAATAAAAGTCATTTTTTACAACATATTTAAACTTTAAAAAGATATATTGAGTAAATTTTAGAACATTATATCATTTGACAACAAGATTAGTGCACTACTAGGAAAATACAAACCCATCAACATGATTTAAAATGAGGTTGATGACTACTATAATGTTTTGACGAGGCAGTTTAAATCAAAGTATAACAGCGCCGATACCAAAGCTGGTCTTAGTAATAACATTAGGATATTAAACAACGAAAATGTTGAGAATTCATGTTTACAAAACTTTTAAAAAAAACCAGCAACATTATTTTCATCTAGAAAGTGAGATATAATATTCAACCTTTTTATTCCTACTTTAATCATGTACATACCATTTCAGGTCAAGAATAAATTGTCTCAAGAAAGGAACAAGGGCTTAACGGGTATGTGAACTAGTGGTGAAACATTTTACAATCACGTATATCGACAAGTACAAGCTTAACAAAAACATTTTTTGTATTGATATTTTGTATTGATAAAATTAAAAGACGTAAGAATGTAATTAACATTTATCTTTCAAAATGCAAATGATAACATATCATATATTTTTATACTATTTATATAACTCAAACCATCATGTATGGTGAAATATGCGATCATATTGAGTGGCTACCAGTGGGTGAAAAAGATTTTAACTAAAGGAAAGAAAAAAGCAAAAATAGGCATACCATAAAGAGAAAGTATCACAATTGGCGAAGCCACAAGATATAATGAATAGCATATTTCTCAAAAAACGAACAAATTTAATTTATGTTAGGACATCTATTTTTCTTTCCTTCTCACCTATGCGATGATTGGTTTAATAAATTCATACTCACTATTTACGATATTATAGAGGATGATGAAGCCAAGAAACTTCAAGATTTATACGATCAAGGGGTCATATTGCTCTGTAAGCAGCAAAGTTCGATCACATTGAACAAATATTTGGAAAACTTCACACTGAAATCATCCGATGCGGCAGCAATTACAAGAAAATTAGCAGAAACGCTTGATTTCATTCACACCCTCGGATTTGTAATTGGTCCTCTTACATGCGAGGAAGTTGTTCTTAAACTTACAAGTACAGGAGTGAGTTTTGAAGAAAAAAAAAAGAAAGAAGTTTAATTTATTCATGCTGCTTTTTAACAACGCAAGAGAATGAACATATTAAACTTAAAATTAAAGCTAAAATAATGCACTTGTTATGTTTCTAAAAGCAAAGGAATTAAATATCATATTTTATCTTTATAATAAATTGTTTTGTGTGTGATATTAAGCCAAACATATAACAACATTATATGTGTAATTTATAGAGAATAACATGCTACTGTCTTTTAATATTGATATCAAAAGACAGTAGTATGTTTTTCTATTTATCATGTAACACATAAAAACTGTCAAAATTACAAAACAATCAAATTTTAATCAGCGAATTTCGTAGAAAGGGGCATTTTTGTTCAAAGAAATAATTCTTGAAAACAAATTCCTCCGCCTCTGAAACTTAGAATTTGTAAATGGCGGCCATTTTTTCTTTCGACTCGAGATTATTTCCTGTGATAAAGATACAACAGAATGTTACACGATAAGATTAAAGAATTCATGACACATGAATTATATTTTATGGCATGCATTTCATTAATTGTTACCAGTAAATAGAAATGTTAATAATGCAAAAATTATTCAATTCACAAATAAACGAATTGATAGATTATTTCATTATTTGATTTATTGTTTAGTCAGTGATATTTTTAAAATGATTTTATAAAAAGATTTATCTTTATTTATATTTTATTAATAGATGATTCGTCGCGTGAGTCTTGTTGCCTTGCCGATATACTCCGCTACAACCGATGACGTCAGCAGTGACATCGGGAACCTTGGCCTTGTCATTAAAAAGATGATCGCAGGTTACGAGTATATTGATTATAAGCGGAAGAACAGCAAAATGAAACCACAAACATCATTCAAAGAGAAAGTGTTCAAATTATTTGGACCGTCAATCAGTGAATACTAACTAGTATTATGTAATTCATTGTAATGGAGGAAAGACAAATGATGGATTTTTATCTCCATGGTTACTTGATATTGATCCGTTTCGGGCTTAATGACTGGTTTATAGTGAATGATTAGTGTTCCTTACACACACATATATTGAACATCAAACATATTACTTAAATATTGTTGTTTTTGGCATGTCCTTGTTATAAATGTCTCTAGATTTTGTCTTTTGCTTTCTCGTGTAGTTTTCTAAAAATCCTTTTTATGAATGTAATTGAACAGTCGTGTATTTTTATTTTTATTTTTATTAAAGAATTCAACATCATTATTTGTGAAAAGTATTATTTCAAAACACGGTTATTCACCGACATTTCTTGCCTTAAATAAGTTAATGAATGTTTAATGTTCATGTAAAGCTTTTAATTGATATTCAATAGTTTGTTATTGCTTTTCTGTCTTATGTTGTTACAAAAATAAATCACAAAGTATGTGTTAACTAAGATTTTAACTTTTTATTTAGTTCATTTTATACTTTTTGTGCCCCCCGAAGGGCGGCATATTAAAACCGCACCGTCCGTCTGTCTATACAACATTCGTGTCCTGACTGTATTTGGGAATGTAGTTATTTGCAATAAATGTTTTTAAATGGTGTACGATAAAAAAAAACACCAAAATTTTCGTTCAATGCATTTGAAATGATTCATCTCATTTGAACCATAATTAAATTTAATTAAATTCGATTTTTACTTTTGATTATTATAGGAAGTGATTTCCACATCTGTGGTTATACCTTTAATAAGGTGCACATACAGACGTTGATATACATTTGCACGTTCGATTGCATTCTTCCTGGTCGGTGTCACTTTTATGATTAGCTGTTCGAAAATATCAAACTAAAACAACCGTTTCCGAATTATTAACAGTTGATAATGATAAACAAACCACTAATAAATGGGAGATGTCTGGCTATATATCTGGTCAGCCTTGCTAACAGCAAAATATACGGCGAGGAAAATTTCCGAGCACATCTTGTTTTTATAATGCACACGTTTATATGAATATCCTAAATAAATATCTTGAAATAAAAAAAGTGTTTCATCGGAAGCATCAAAAACAGCAAAATTACATGAATATTGTAGACTCAGATTGATTGAGTCTGTACATGAGGGATAATGTAAAAGTGCAACATCTCTCACACCCTCTAGCACCGTCTTGAGCCATACTCAATTTTCAACACTAAAAAAAGTTGGAATCAATGATCCGAAATGACCAAAAAATATATAAACACTAAAGTGAAGTGCGAGGCAACTTTTTACGCACTTGGCAAACAACATGATAGTTTGGCATCATCGGGAACTGTAACCACAAATTGCACTTACTGAAAACCGTTAGTTCATTGTTTAAATGCAAAAGTCTTAATTTCTGGAAACAAACTTTATTTCATTCTTTATGAAGCTTATCAATGTAGAATGTTTGTTCATTTACATTCGTCAAAATTATGGCATCTATATGCTTTACTGGGTTTATTTTAATGAGCCGTTGATTTTTTCGACCAAATACTTCTATTGTTCTTTTTATATATTTGTATTGCCATTTAATTTGGCAAAGTATATATTCTCATAAAAGAGTTAAAGTAAAAAGGTCAAGGCAACCCAAATGATCATGCATGTAAAGATTACAAACAATAGACACAATTTGTTTGAAAGATTTTCGAAAGGAGGAAAAATTGCAAAAAAGACACAAGTACATGTATTAACAATAAATCTCCGCACACTGAGAACAGATTTAGTTTATAAATAGAAATTAGATATTCTTTTGACGTTATAAGTGCCAAATTGCAAACTTTTAGCCGACTGGGGGAGGAAGATCCTGGGTGCCCCGGTGTACATTATTTTACTGTCATAATTGTAGTCACATTCGTCATATAATTGAAAACCTATAGAACCAAACTCTGGAACACAATTTTAATTTACCATTTTAATGAAAAACATGATTCATGTGAATCCATATGTGAGAAACATAATTCTATACCATAAATGTAACATACAGTGTCCTTTTCTTGGAGAAACACTGTTTCCTACCAAATGAAAAACATGTGTCTGCACCATATGTAAAACATATGGGGTACTTTTCTTGGAGACACCATATGTTTCTACCATATGTAAAACATGTGTGTCACATACGTTTAACATGTGGTGCATTTTTACCTGTGTAAAGAAAGCCCAACACGACAAAATTGAAAATGTTGCAGGCTCGGTTTGATTGAGCCTGTTCATGGACGGTACTGGAAAGTGCAAGTTTTCGTCCACATTGGTCGGAACAAAATGAAATAGGAACACAGAGGAGCGCCGCCTTGGAACGGACAGCAGCATAAGTTTTGCTGTGGAGTTTTAACCGGATAATGGTGCACCAAACCTTCCCGTTAGCCCCACCATGTTCCTAAAAACGAGACTGTGTGAATAAAATGAATCCCCGCCAAGTGAAATTCTAACAGTTGTTATGATTACAAAAGGTGAAATAAGTAAAACATCGAAATGATTATGTAGAAACATATAAAAGAAAACCCAAATGACTATAACAACAGTACTTAATGTCTTAAAGGAAGACAGAGCAACGAGAAAATCACCTACCAGGACCCGACGAAGCAGGACAGACTTGACGAACATTAACAAAACACGCAATTTTAAACTTCATATATAGTTTGGTGCACACTTTGCAGTGGTCGTGAATTTCATTATATTTTTATATTTAAGTGAAAAATAACTCTTTAACTCGATGAATAATAATGTTTAAAGTTTGAACAGTTGATGTCTTCTTCAGATAAACTTGTTTTTAAAACAACGAGAGAAACGTCACAGTGATTTGTTTGCTTATTATTATTTTTTTTTATTTTTTTATTTTTATTTTATTTAGATGTTGTTGTTCATGTAAAATTGCTTTTGGTATACACTTTCCAAGGTAATATCACAAATTGGCTGGCTGTCATAAAGGAGGCGTTCATGATTCTTAAAATTTACGCATATATTATTTGGTAAGATTTGTGATAACTTCGTCATAAAATTGCTGCACACAACCTATATGGTCACAATGACCTGGTGACTAGTCGTGACCAGTAGATAACCCTTATTGATTTTTTGGTCACTACGTCAAAAGTCAGACACAATAACCTGACTACGTGAATATTTGGCTGTCGATAGGGGGCATACAAGTTTTACAAACATATCTTGTTTTTATAAAATTATTTTTCGACACAAAAAGTTTATATCTTTGTTAGTACATATATTGGTATTTCTGGTAATCCAGTATTTTGTACTATGTTTCTTTTTGTTGGTCATATCAAACATATACTGAGAATGAATGAATGAATTTTGAAAAATCATGAATCTTGGTTTAATTAATGTTCAGATTAATTGTTATTTAGATACAAACAGAGCAAAACAGGAATTTCACCAGTTAGTGAAAGCCACACTCAATATTTAAAAAAAATCTTTCCTCTCTTTCTCTCTTTCTCTTTAGTAAATACTGTTTTTTTTATTGCGTTAAAACATTAATTAGTTAAGATATCAAAATTGCATATATCAATTTTATGCATAATAAAGCCTAAATTATGATAAAAAGGCTGTTGATACCTATGACAGATGGTCAAGTCCCGGAAATATTTCTGCCACAAAAAGTTTTCTGGATATTATTTAAAAAATTTAGTTCTCTTATATTACGCATGTATATGTAAACAATGCTGATATGACATTTGTTTTAAATTTCTTTGAAAAAAAATGTACTTAGCCCAGGCTTTGGTACGGTATTTTGTCCGCACCATCGTACGGCATTAAACAGCATATAGCTATTTTCTGGTTTCCTGTTCACCCTCACCTCCCATCCATAAAGCAGGGAACCAATTCAGCCTTAACCTTTCATTACCTCCCTTGAGTACTCATTAAATTTGACAGGTGCCACGAAAATGTCAGATGCATATTTCTTCGAATAATTTAGGTAAACTATAATATAGCACTGTTTTATAGATCTTTCTTCATTTTAATGTGATGCCAGTTTATTAATAATTTCACGTTCCCATGATTTCCGTTTATTACCTAGCAAAAACATGATGAACGCCCATTTTTGCATGAGTCACAAAGACTTTGTTTTGATCAACATGATTGATTCTAGAAAAAAATGCATGGTTCATAGGTTAATCTGTTTTTTTACACAAAAAGACTATGAATTTATGTTTTGATATATTTCTTTCTTATTCAAAATATGCATGAATAAGTGACTTTTTGGTTTAAAATTTTCTTATTTGTTTTGATAATTGATTTGAAATGATCTTGCAAAGCAGATTTAACCGGTTTAATTAATACATGTAGTTCTAATTATAAAACCTAGAAAACGCAGTCCAAGCTTTTGACTTCTCCGTATAAAAATGTATAGCAAAAAATATACATTTCATTTAAATGTTGATTTACATGTAAATCTAATGCATTTAAATGATTTGAAAGAAATAAATATCTGATGAAAGATAAATATAAACTTAACGCGCTAATACAAACAGAAATTGAATATCACATAAACAGGACATCCGAGAAAGCAAACCAAACATTAGGATTCCTTCTCTGAAACAAAAAGGTTAATTCCCAGTCCATTAAGTCCATTGCTTACCAGACATTAAGTCAGACCCCAGGATGAATATGGTTCTTAACTATGGTCTCCTCACACCAAAATACAGATATATCAAATTTGAAATGTCCAAAGAAGGGCAGCCTGGTGGATCAGGCTATATATTATGGTCAGACTTCTTGCATGACGGACATGCTTCACTCCAACAAGCTTCAAAAACTGGAACTCAGATGAATAGCTGCTAGGTTATATAAATATCCCTTTTCTACAAGATTTACCATGGTCTGGTTGCTACCTTCTAATTACCATCACGCCTTGGCCATCCCCTGTGTTATTCAAACAACTTTAGACTTTTATAAACTATCTTTTTTTTTTCCTAGGACTGTAACCACCTACCCCTTGCGGTTGCCCTACTGCCTACACCAGAGCAGTTCAGTGCATCCATAGCTTACAATGAACATGTATCACCCTGTTTTTAACATTTTCAATATTCTTCTTTTATCCTCCTAAATTAAACAACTCTTTTTAAATGTCTTGTGATTTTGACATGCATACATGTGTACATCCCCGCAAGGGGTTTGACATAAATGAAAGATACTAGATAAGGCTATTGAAATGTCACCAATTCAGCTGGACTGAAATTGCCGAGCATCATTCACCAAGGAATGTGTCATAATATGAATAAGTAAAATCAAATTAAAATTTTTTTTGTATTAATATTACTCTGAGCAGTTTAGTTTATAACAATATTATCTAGGGGCCTCCCCTAAAACCTGTACTGTCCGGGAATAAAAACCGCCTGATTCACAGTCGAAACGTTCTACCTATTGAGCTAACCAGTACTCTGA